ATCAAAAAGACAAAAAAGAAACTGCCTATCTATGTAACAGATGGTAGAGATGGCTTGAACATTTGAAATTGGTCTCTCATTGTCCTCATCAGTTCAAACTCGTCAATAAGAGAATCTAATGAAAAAGTATTCTTAAATTCAAATATGCAATCACTTACACAATTACACAAACTAACAGCAGGCCTATTTAATCACTATTTAATTCAAATCAACTCAAACTAACACAAAAATTAACTAAAATAGTCAAACCAACACAAAAAATTAACTCAAATCAACTCAAACTAACACAAAAGAGATTGGGCGTTGGGCGTTGATCGTTGGCAGAGCCGCAGAGATGGAGTTGCAGCACAGTTGCCTGTCGTGCAGAGAAGAGATTTGAGAAAGAATGAGGTGTGTTTGTAGTCGGGATTACATTTTGTGGACTGTGGCCTGTGTGTATGCTTTTGGGTAATTGATTCATAAATTGGTCCTTAGCTTTTGGATTGAATTTGGGCTATTTATTTATTTAAGTAACTATTGGATCTTTTGTGTAGGTCTAAAATTTTTACACGGTTGAATTTTGAAGTGTAACTTATTGAGTTAACATTTATTAATGGAAAAAAAATTTCAAAATTTTGTGGGGACGAGTCAAAATTTTTGCAGGGGTGAAACTAAAAAATACATTAACTAGGAATAGTGGACCATCGGACAATGTTGGGGGGCGTTCCTCCCTCTCCCATCTCCTTCTCTGGTATGCATGGCATTTCACCACCCACCTGAGTATGAAAATAAATTAGTTTCAAAGAAAAGACATAGCCTATGTTTGACACCCTTTTTTTCTCATTTTCTTTCTTATTTTTTTCTTTTTCTTTATTTTAACCACACATTCTATCAATAAAATAATATTACACATAAACCAAAAAAATTCTCTTTACTTTTTAACCACACATTCTTCCATCAATCACTATTCAAAATCAAATTCTTGCATAAAATGAGTGACAAACAATGGAAGATTTTTCCAGAAGTTGCATTCCATATGGAAATAAACACGGACTGCTATTTACAATTATACCTACATAACATAATTTTGTTGCATTTATAATTAGTCCCTATAAGCATGCCTACATGATAACTCGGCTATGCAGTATGCCGCGGAAGAAATATATAGCTGAAAGGATCACAAGTGCATTATGCATATACCAGGAGATCTGCAGAAGCACATTTTGCATGGGAAAATCAGTAGTTACACTAGCCACACTAGACTTAGACAAAGATCTTAGTCTCCAGCTCTGTTCACTACTATTGTCGTCCATACGTAGCACATCGACATTTTTACTAGTCTCGTTAGTAATCACCAAGTTCTCCGGTCCTTCGTCACCGACTTCAACATCAGATTCTTCCCCTTCTCGAACAGACTTCAGAGATTCTTCTTTCGGCCTCATGTTATTTAAAATTTTTGAGATATCTTCATCACAATTTTTGCCATCAATAACAATACCATTTCCTAAGCTACGATTCATTATTTCTTCATAACTTTCATCTAGTATAAATCCGGACATCGATAATTGTCACTAAAGAATTTAAAGGATGGAATAAAGTCTGTATATTTTTTGTATATTAAAATTGAACTGCATACATATGTATTTATATTGCAACAAAGGATAAGATGATAACTCTAATCTACACATGACATTTGAATTTAAATTGAATAACAGACTAGCTAACAAATGCAAAAGGATCCTGATCATATAAATCAGGTGGTTGAGAATTGTGACTTTTTTTGTAACGATCCGACCTCTTACCGGAGTTATTATCTTACGTACTGTCTGTTTTGGGAGAGCCTAAGTGCCCAATTGGAACTAGAATTCAACTTAAATCTCACATATGATAGAGGTCTTGAGTTCGAATCCTGAGGGATATGTCAGAAAGCCGTTAAGGGTAAGATGGGTCTAAGCTCTCCCGAAGCGGACAGTACGTAAGATAACGGCTCCTTCTGGAAGGCGGGAAGAAGAAGAAACCGAGGCTTGATAGTTGATATCAAATCGATGATAGCACTTCTTTGTAGTGTGACCAGGCCTATCACAAACCTGATAGTAAACCACATCTCTGAAGGATTGTCCACAGCCAAAGGCATTGGAAAAATTATTACTACCACGAAACCCGTACCCCCGACTGCTGGAGCAACGACCACGTTGAGGTTGTGGAGATTGTCTGGTGGCAACATTAGCCGATCCTAGCAGCACAGGTTGGATCTGATTGTGATGGTTAAGTTGAGACTCAGTGGTCAACAAGAGAGAGTATACTTCTTCAAGTGTTATTGGATCATTTCGAGCTTGAATAGTCGTAATACGGGATCATAATCATGACCTAAGCCTGATAGAAGGTAGGTGATTATTTCATCACACTTAAGAGCTTGTCTTGCAATGGTAAGTTCATCAGATAATTTTTTGATGTGCATAAAATAATCATTATTAGATAGAGCTCCCTTTCGAGCATTAGCCAAGTTTGTACGTAGTTGAATTGCACGAGCACGAGATTAAGAGAGAAGGTGGTCTCAAGTGCAAACCATACAGCAGAGGAAGTTGTATAATTGACGACCTGTGTTATAACACCTTCAGTGATAGTGGAAAGAATAATGGCCAGGACAATGGCGTCCTGACGTTGCCAGTGCGCAAATAGTGGATTTGGAATGGAGGAGATAACACTAGTTATAGGATGAGAAGAGTCAACTTCCTCAGGTGGGGATTTAGTAGTACCACTCAGATAGCCAAAGAGGCCTTGGCCACAGAAGAACAGTATCATCCATGCCTTCCAGATGTAATAATTATCTTTGGTCAGTTTGGTGACATTGATAATAGGTGGAGTAGTGAGCGGGGGGCTTGTGGTGGAAGCAGTATCAGAAAGAGTTGATGAAGGAGAAGCCATGGTTAGGGACGTTGGTCAAGAGGGCTCTGATACCATAAAGAATTTAAAGGGTGGAATAAAGTCTGTATATTTTTTGTATATTAAAACTGAACTGCATACATATGTATTTATAGTGCAACAAAGGATAAGATGATAACTCTAATCTACACATGACATTTGAATTTAAATTGAATAACAAACTAGCTAACAAATGCAAAAGGATCCTGATCTTCTCCTACAAATCAGGTGGTTGAGAATTGTGAAATACTTGGTCTTCAACAGCCATCTAGGTTTTCACTTGGATTTTCAGTTTCATCTCCTTGATCACCTTTCTCAGACAACTCAGCATACATTTCACATCTAGCTTTCTTTCTGAGGAATCTTCTATGAGTATTTCGACTTACAGCAGGTCTCCAGTCACCAGAATCATCATCATATTGACCCTGTGATGCATCAATTCCATCAGCAACCATCTTCTTCCCTTCAATGTTTATCTCCTTTTTTTGCGGTAAGTATCTCCGAGGCTTAGTGAAACCACCATCGGCATCCTCCTGAATTCCAGACTGTGATTCAGTATCATCTTAAATTGAACAGTTTTCAGTACTGTGTTCATTCGCAGATAAAGCATTCAAGTTTAAATTTTTCATGGGAAGAATTCTTGAATTTGGAATTGATCCACCCTCAATTGCGTGCTCTAGTGCTTCCCATTCTTCCAGATTGGGAACATTGGAACCCCATCCTGGCATGTCTTTTTCAGGTAGTCTCTTCACTTTAACTGTGTGGATAGGACTGTCTCTGATATGCTGAGTTTCATGGGTTTGAGCCTCCAATGCATATGTCAGAGCAATTAGCTTAAGATCCGCATCTGAAAGTGTTTTCAAGTCACCAGTTGCCCTTGTAAAATTGATCACTGCATACCAAACATCAAGATCAATTCAGCGTTCAAAGTTGAATACGACACAGACTGTTAAATGCACTTCATGAGTGACAAAGAAATTCACTTTATGTTTCATAGGGTTAATGATTTGCATAGTCACTTAACTAAACCAAGTGCTACTACTTAGCTCCTGTTTGGTAGGAATTAAAATTCAAATTTTTATATAAATCAAATTTAACAATTAATTTTAACCATTTATTTTACGAGTTCCACAACTTTTCAACCACACATTTCATCACTTTCTATCAAAATCTACTAAAAATTTGATTTTAATCCTCATCAAACAAGGGCTTAATAATTGAACTAAAAAATATATCACAATAGTCACTAAACTATGCACCATGTTACTCATCTATCATTCAAGTGAAAAAATTAGATAGGTTCAATAAACGACGTCAACTTGAGCGATAAATTGGTAACATGGTGCGCATAGCTCAGTGAGAGATACAATTTTAAGTTCGATTATTAAATAATAACAATTGATATAATTCAGTGACCATTGAACTAATTAACCTATGTTTCATATATACATAACCAATAGAAAAGTAATTCATTATGAAAAGATTTGTAAAACCGCACAGTAAACAAACACTCTTAAGTGAATACAAAAAAAAGTTAGTTATAGACCCGAATTTTTTTAAATTAAGCAGCCAATACTTCTACTAGACACCTATCTAATCAACCAATGAATATAATTCAAAACGGAAAAACAGAAATATCTACAATAAAGCAATATAAATTATTACACAAAGATGAACAAATTTCTCAATCACTGATTTTGCCACGGCAGCCCATAACGCCAGTGAGGGCACTGCCTGTGAATGGCTTTGTAGTGTTACAATACAACTAAGGCCTACATAGTTAGCCGGACCTATTGTTTTGATTTTCCTTTTTCTTCTTTTGCTGAAACAATGTCATAATAAATTAAAGCTTGGTAAGGTTATATCAGCTTCTCAAATTGCAATATATTGACCAAAACCTTACCTTTTCTTAGGGCATCCGAAGAGGGTTCGAGAGCGTCAACAGAGAATGGAAGGAAATTGAGGGAGTTACGAGAAGCAGGGTCTCGTATTTCAACAATGACCTCAGGGACGGACACAAATCGATCAACCGAGAGTGATAGCCTCTCGCTGCCTTGGATTATTATGTTGGCATCGACTACCGCCACCGCTATTCCTTTTCGAGAATCGCAACTCTCTACCATAACCCCGTGTTGTTGATTGTTGATTATGGGATAGCATAGTTGCGACGCCGACAAAGGCGGCTGGTTCTGAGGCTGCTGCTTTAATATTGTTAATGTGTGTATATATATACCCATACACACAATATACATGTTAATTAATCTTACACTGGTTAGAAAGGAAAACATTCCTCTCAAGTTAAACTATAAATACGATACATCTCTTGTAAACAAATTACACTATTCAATGCAATTCCCTTCTCTTTGTATTGTCTTATTTTCTCTCTTAAATTCAATTTGATATCAGAGCTACTATTCTTAGTGGTTCTCAGTATATCAAGAGTTGAGTATGCTCTGTGATTGCCACTATTAGAGGATCTTTCACATTAGAAAAACTTCTTGTATATCCTCTTCATACATGTTGGGTTGTCACCATAGTCGGAGTCTTATTCTCCATTGACGTCATCTCAGCCACCACTCCATCAGTTATTTCCTAACCAGTTTAGTTCGATTATTGTTATTTTTTTCTATCCCCTTCTAGTTTCGTCCACATTATGGAGCATCTTGAGGCCTCACAACCCATTGCCATTATCATGGAAAAACTCAACTACATTATATGGGCTCAGGCTATGTCAAGTTTTCTTAAGGGTAGAAAGCTCTGGCACTATATCACTGGTGATATCACCGAACCAGAAAAAAATCGCTGGAGAAGACAACACAAAATACATAGATCATTTTGAAGAGTGGGATAGCAAAAATAACCAAATTATCACTTGGATTCGCAACACGTGTTACGCTCCATCAGTCTCCAGTTTGGTAGATTCAAGACTGCCAAGTCATTATGGGATTTTCTATAGAAACGCTACACCACCGCAGATTTGTCTCATCAATACCAACTTCTAGATACTCTACATCGTATGCAACAACAACCTAGGCAATCCATCAATAGTTTCTTATCTGAAATGTACTATGTTTGGGATCAACTTGCTTCCTTATAACCAGAGTTTACAGATGCCAAAAATGTTGAGAAATTTTCCGACATCGAGATCAGCAACACTTGGTTCTCTTTCTCATGGCCCTCACTAATGAGTTTGAGCATGTTCGTGCATCTCTCTTTCACCACAATCCCTTACCTACTTTAGATCAAGCTGTTACTGAACTTCTTTCGGAGGAAACTTGTCTTGCCCCTCGCAAAACAACCTCTGTAGATGTTGTCTTCGCCACTCCCAGAGGACCTCAACAAAGGGCATTCATCTGGATCTTTTCAACACAAAGGGCATCCGTCTGGATCTTCAAAATTCTGCAATTACTGCAAGAAACTAGGACATACTCTCTTGGAATGCCCGATTCGAGTTTGCCAATTCTGTCAGAAGCAAGCCCCAGGTCATCTTCAGCGTGATTGTTTTCAAAACCCCAACAGACACTCCCGGCAATACATGTCTCACAGTACTCCTTCTAGATTTGCCGCCACTACTGCTGAAGGTTCATTATTCACTACT